CATTTATCCCTTCCTCGGCACCTGTGTTTGCATATCCCTTTCACAGTGCAATGAGCCGTGAGTTTCACTTTCAGTTTGTACAACCATTAACCACATACATCTTCGTGCGTCGGTTTTGGTTGTTGTCTTTTGGCTGCCCGTTTGGATGAAGCAATAGGAGGAAGGCAGTAAGATGAAAGTAGAGTCGAAGAGAAAATTTGAGAACTCCAAAGAAATTGATCAGATGCACGACAAGATGTCACTGTTTACGAGACTTAGGTATACCATTCAGTGTCTCTAACCATCGGTTACGATCATCTCGAGGTCCCTACTCAGAGAGTCTAACGGGACCTATGTGACCGAGTCCCCTGGTTGGGGTTTTCATACCCTTGTTCCAGGTTTCAGCTTGATCACCCTTGACTTTATTCCACCCAACCACATTTCACAACAACCTCCAGTTGCCATAGCGTTGAACCAATGTGCATTAGTCAGACTCCGCGTGCATTGTCCCCCCTCAGCTCCAAGTTCCCTATAACCGTCTGTCCACCAGTTCCTGTGCCGCGTTTTATACCAGTGACTGCCTTAGTACAAACCTTGGATCTTGGTTTCGACCAATCATAGTGGTGAATAGAACCCGCTGATTTTATACCGGTATTTAACTTCCCCATTTGTTTGTGATTTAACTTATTGCTTTCCTCGCACAGATCATTGTCGACCAGTCTGTGATAATTTGTTGGTCGCATAGTGACCAAGAAGCGTTGCTTAGGTACAATAAACTGACTAATCTCATTGACTGATATAAAAAGTACAACGCTAAACCTCTCACTAGCTTGACAGAACCGACAACCGCACTCGTTGAGAGTGTATTAGCGAAGCAACAGAAGAGTCATGAGCTGAGATACAAACACGTCGGAGGTTATCACAGGACACCACTGTTAGAATGGTCTTGGGAGTGACAGGTGTAACAAANCAAAACTTGAGTTCATTGGAGGAAAAATTCAGACTTGCATTAGAATTAAAAGTAGGCTATTTTCGGGAAAAAGTAATGTTTGTACATAATTTACTGACCAAAATAAGGCTCTTAGGGAAGCTTGATGATCTTGTGAATAAAATTTTAAATCATAAGTTCCCGTTTGTCTTGATGTGTATCAAGCTAGTTTTAGTTCATATCAGTGGATAACTTCAGAATGACAATTTCACAAAACTATCCTATCTTCATACATAAATATTATATTAATTTTAAACGTTTCCAAGGACGGAGCTTGTACCTATTTATTTTGGTGAAGTCTACCAGGCTAATTAAAAACTCCGTTCATAAGTGCTCTTGGTCAATGGCATTGGGCTGCGGTGCATAAAATTATCGTGAATAAATCCGATGATTCAAATTAATTGGAAACTTCTTGATTGATAAATAAACGTCATTTGCAAATACCTTCATCGACGGATGTGTCTGAGTTGATGCAAGCAAAGTTTCCTTTGTTATGAGTTGATCATAATAGGGTATCGTGGTAAGCAGCTTCAGTGTGGGGAGCTGACGCTGGTAGCCACGTAAATTGTACCTCAAAGTGTTCCACCCAGAATGCAAGACGTCGCTGTTGATTATGAATGGGCAAGCCTTCAGCTTCGCAGGTCGTTTCGCTCATACCCAAAGCTTTCCCACCGGTGGCTCGAATGAGATGGAGCAGTTTACAGGAATTCCCCATGGCAGCAGCACGTTCTATCTCTGATGCGCTTTGAGTCCGCTAGATTTCGCGGTCTCTGCGTAGGCTTATGTTATAATTCGTGCCACGTTATGCTCGCTGTCGGTCGAAAGTGACTGACCTGTGTCAAGAAGGCACGGAGACTTATCGGAAATCCAGGGTTTCACGGCATGACATGTCAAGCCAAAACTTGCTAATCGAGCACAATAAATAACATTCTTGATAAGCAACCAGTGCTAACGGATATTTTCAGATGAAGTTGGTTCCAGCTTTTCAGCTAGTGTTCTAAAAGATCGTTTGCTAGTTAAGATAACATACTGTAGTCTAACCTTCGCTGTGCCGTGCGTTTAGAAGGCCCACGGAAGCACATGGGCAGCTTGGCACAAACCAATGCGTGATCGTATTTTAGGGGGTGTTCCAGTACAATCGGCAGTCTTGTATGTAACCCCAACATTTGCGGCTTATAGCAATGTGGTCGATCTACGTTTGTCGAGGACTAAAGGATAGTGGACGCTTAATGGCATACCAGCAATTAAATCGTCTGAAGTTTGTACTGGCGAGGAACAGGCTGTGGTTGGAACATGGAGTCAACAGCCGTTCCCTTTTTCCGAGCAACAGGAATCTAGTCCGAAAGGACGTTCAAAACTCGCCTCATTTGAGGTCAACCGGCCTACTCTAGCATTCATATCTACTGCTAAAACGACGATATGCGCCCGGTTCCTTGTACGCAAGAAGTTACGTGGTTTTTGGCAAAATTCATCTTTGACTGCATCTGAGCTGCAGTCCACTGATACGACAAACAAGTGTTGTCTATTGGGGCGACGGCTGCTTACTTCGCACCAACCGCTAAATCTCACTGCGCATAACTGACTGTCGGCCGGGATCCAGTCGAACAGAGGGGCTTCAGCTCCCTCACCGAGAGCCACACCAACGAGAGCAAGACCAGAAGCCACAGCCCCTATACTCAATATTAGGCCGTTTCCATTAAGGTCTTAAGTAACTCAAAAAATCGAGATGCATGACTTAATTTCACGGTATTCATCAGTGACAAGGCAGATCTTCATGACTATGGAGTTTACCATTGATGCTGCTCATCACTTAAGGTTGTGTACCGAATTTGGTAGAAAATTTAAGAAAAACAGTGAATCCTATATGTCAATAGATGATATGAAAGCGTAGGTTATATGCAAGGTTCATGTGCAATCTCACCCATGAATGAGCCCCTGAAGTTGAGTAAAATCGCACATTTTAACATTTTCAACTTCCGACACAGCCCTAGGAATCACCATTCTCCCACATTAGTATCAAAGCTTCAATCAAGCTTGCTCTCATTGGAAACAGTACAACTCTACCTTCATTCTCATCGGAGGTTGAACTCAGAGGACTTGCGTGAAAGGCACACGCAATTTAATTTAGCAAAAGAACCTTCCGTGATGAGCTGTATTGAGAGCGAAACTCGCGACTGGCGCTTCCAGAGTATGTAATTAATTGGATAAGTTTAAGATAGCGCACGAAAAAGTGCACTGGTTCGTTAATTAAAAATAATACCAATACACCAAATCATAAATCAGTCCTGTATGTTGCGCTGAGACGACTCACTTCAAATAAGAAAACAAACTCACCTCGTCATCAGTCAACGAAGCAATTCGATCTACACACTCCAAAGTCTGGCCCANATCTTTGTTGTGCTGGTTTCCAAGTTGTGACACCACACTTGTCCAATGTCCTTCATCGAGAACGGTATTGAATAAGCCTCGGAAAAACATTTGCATGTTTTATAGGTCAACCGTTGACGTAGTACAGCCACGCATGCTTGACGTGTGTAGTTGAATTTGATCATGCCTCGGTCCGCTTTGTGAACCCGGATGAGAATGCGGCGGTTGTATGAGTGGAAATTTCAATGAATTCGAAAATGGCGGCTGCATATCTAAATCTGTGACGTAATGGCAACATATTTAAGACACGGTTAAGAGTTTTAAATTTTACAACTATCAACTATGCACTTTCGTGAGGTGGTTTCGGTTGTCCATTTGGATAAAAGAGAAGATTGAAATGCTGAGAGATGTCGTAAAGGGAAAACAGAACTTTTCAGTTCAGTTCAGTTTTTACAACCATTAACCATGCAGTTTCGTGCGCCGGTTATGGTTGCTGTCTTTTGGCCGCCCATTTGGATAAAAGAGCAGAATGAAGATTGGAATGTCGAAGCAAATTCAAGCGAAAGATGGGGAATACATATGGAGTGGTGTTAGGAGAATAATGAATGGACGCACGAGCGCCACTGTTTGCGACACCCAGCCATATCACTCAGTATCTTTAACCATCGGTGACCATCATCTCGGGGTCCCCAGTCTGAGAGCCTAACGGGGCTTAAGTGACCTAGTCTGCTGGTTAGGATTTTCATACCCTCATGCCAGGTCTTGGTCTGACCACTCGTCACATTTTTCCATCAATCAACTGCCTCGGCAAACAACGCTCACCGTGGTAACCTATTTGGTGACATGCTTAACACATGCCCCAACCAGCGTAGTCCATGGGCAATCCTAACCAGTACCACATTCTGTGGTGAACTCCGGCGAAAAATTGCCGTAGGCTTAAACTCGGCTGTATAAGCGGATCGTACGTTTAAAATAAACTTCTCGGGAACACAATTTAAGGAAAGACAGCACCAGAATTGAAATTTGGTGAAAAGGAATTTTCACCATATATGAGGAAAAGCGAACAAACCTTTTGAAAAATTATCAACGTGATCAAGATCCAACTCTATAGTGAAGGACGATTGGCTTTACTCGTGACTGCAAGCTTGACCAGAAACCTGAACCCATTGCTGCCCTCGTTTAACCATCATAAGGATTATCCTTTACCTTAAAACCCAAATGTAGTTTCGCTTGGTTACGGAAGTGCTTTGAACATAATATGAAAACAGCTACAATATATATATATATATATATGTATATATATATATATATATATATATATATGAGTAACGGAGGATTTGATATGATTATGTGATGAATGTAAATGGGGCATGAGCTGAAGAGCTAGAAAGCACTGGACAACTGTTTCAACCTGGGTTCGATCCCCGGTTGGGTATGATTTTGGTTTATATTTTTCACACTACATGATTGGCAGTCAAAACAACCGTGCCAATCCGTGGCATTCACAAACTTTGATGTACTATAAAGTAATGACATTCATCGCACCAAGCATCTTCATCAATCATCCGATGGGCTAAAATTGAAATGTTTTATTCAAATCACTGGCTACTAGTTAATCCATTTTGATGTAATGTACTATCCCACATAAATCCCGATGATCGATAACTCAGTGAAGATGGCTGCTCTGTCCAAACGCGAGACGAAGAAACAATTGAAGTAACGGCCATAAATGGTTACCTTCCGAAGAGTCCGCGTTGCTCTCCGAATCCTTGTCTAAACGCAACAACTCGATTTGTGGCGCGTAGTTTTCATTCGCGCACACTCGACCGGTTAGATTCACTGCCTCGTAATGCGTCTCCTCGAGAGCGATCCGCATTGTTTCACCGAACCTCAAGGTCAACCCATTCGGTAATGACTGGATGTGATCCACACGTGACAATCAGCAAGATCAGTTGAAGTAGGGCAGGAAAAAGAGACTAACAGTTTGATAGCGATTTAAATGTGTACCGATATCAAAAGTTGGAATTTCTCGTGGTATCGCATTCACTACGGATGTGGTTCGGTGACTTGCACTTGGTTTCAAAACTAGGGAAACCCCAACAGTATTGAACGGAACTGGAACTGATTGCTCAAGGCTTTGTCTACCCCGTGTGATCTCTGTCACGGGTGAGTAAATCAGAAAATTATCGGACTCGATGACAAGGAAACAAACCAAATACTGGTCAGGTCAGTGATTCATGTATGTATCTGGGTTTGAGTATGGAAGGCCTTGAATCGCTCTCGTTTGATCAACTGGCTCGCTGGATTTCATTTTAAACTTGACTAAGGTAGACTATCGTTCCATATCAAATAGACGGGGTTGAGATGAAAGTGTAATGAAATTAGCCTGTTCGTCAAATGCATTCGTATGTTTTTCTGACAATGCATGTGATTTGATGGCTAAATCACATTCCAGTTTTCCCTAACTAACAGCCATTCTATTATATATATATATATTATTGTATTGTGTAAAGCAGTCCCATAGAACGTAATAAGAACAAAAATAAGCTCGTTTTCAGTATCATGCCATTAAAATAAAATATGTGACTAGTTACAAAAGGGATTAACAAAGGAGAAGAGAAAGTAATTGAAATGATTCACAGT